CGCCCTCCCTGTACACAGTGGATCACAGTAATCCCTCTATTGTCACGGAGCTGTTGGCGGTGCGTGCTTTGGAGTTAGGACGACAAGACGCCACCAGCTGAAGGAAAACGCTTACACTCCCGGCTTCTTACAACAACATTTCTCTCCGTTTTAATTCCTGTTTTTTCATGTGGCGCATACAGAGTGCAGTGCAGGAGCAAGTGTGACAGCTGATAAGATGTGGCAGAATCTTTGACTTATAAAACTATGTCTCGAAAAGCACCCAAACAAGAAAACAAGTTAAATGCATGAATATGGAAGAAGGTATTTTATTGAGAGAGAGATTTTATTGATCCCAAAGGAAATTCAAGAAAAGGTTTTAACTGTAAACTTTAGTACAAATCCTTATCACATACTGCGTGAGGCAAAACTTGAAACTCCCCAGTCAAAATGTGTTATGTTACATGCAATTTGACCTACAGAAGCTTATCTATTGCCCTGGACCATGGAATACCTTTATTACAGAAGCAAACAAAAAAAGAAATACACACATGTTTACACCTATTGAGGAGAAACTTTAATCAAATTGGCTGATGATAAAATCACACAACCAATTACCACGTTACTATGTTTTGGATAAAGAAAGTTTCCATTAGTTTTGTTTTGCAAATGGCCCAACTGTGAAGTGATGAAAGTTTTTTCACAATAACAACTGTTTACACATGTAGGAATTCTATGACTGTGGTTTGGCAGAACAATACTGGGGTTACAACATGGTAGCCATGTCAACATTTGAAGTGGGTACTGTATACAAATAGGCCTTTGCTAATATTGTGCAGCAGACGCATGTCTATGTTATCTGCTGATCCCAGGAGTGCTACATTGGCTGTCTGGGGATTATATAAAGGAAAATCTGTGAGAAAAAATACAGCTATCGCTATTAGGCTAGTCAAGACAATTACTGATAATTTGTTATTTTTTGGGCAATACAATAAGATTTAAACCATTAAAGATTTAATAAAAAAAATTATATGACTGATTACATATGCAAAGTAAGTACTATTTACTTCACCATTATATCACACCAAAGATTTTTGTTTTAGAGTGACAGGCCTAGTCACTATGAAAATTGTCAAAGTAAAATATCGATGGTACTAATAATGAATATGTAGCACATTATTGAAACAACAAGCATAGGTTCATGCATGAACTGGTCATCTGGAAAAACACATTAACCATTCACCATAAGGCCAGAAGGCTACTATTGACATCATGGAGACGGTTCTGCATTAGTCACTCACTTAAGTCATCATCCAGGGTCCATTTCTTTACCCATTGAGCCCAGACACAGGTAAATAAATGCAATCGATGTGATGAGAGAGCCTGCCCTGCTGCCAATAACACTTCACCAACCTGCTCAGTCCAACCAATTTCCCTCTGTCCTTTTATGGTTGTTTATTTGGAAGTATGCCTTTGCCTCTCTCTATAGCTTGCTGTGTATACAAAGTTATGTGTGCAGAGGGCTTTCGATTACAAAGATCAGTCTCTGCAATAGAACACACAGAGGTGAATTGTCAAATGAGACCTGCTATTGGACACAGTGTTTGTCATACATATGCTCGGGAAAGCTATACAAAAAATATGGACAAGAGACGAGAAAATGTGGGATATTTTAGGATTGGGTCATGTTACAAACAAGATGTAGAACTTATACTCCAAATACACTCAAGTAACAGTATTACATGAATGTGGCTCCTTTATTGATTCTTGGACAGACTGAGAGAAATGTGGCCACACTTCTGACAAGTTGGGTCAAGTATTTTGACTCTATGCAGTCCTTGGTACAAACTGAAAAAGAACCCAGGAAAAGGATTAAGGGGAAATGATTTTTAATATTCAGCTATTGTATTGTACTATTCAGCTATTATTTACTGTCTCAAAAAAATTAATTCAATATTATTTGTATTAAACTGTCCGGTGTTTACAGTATATTCAAGTTGTCTGATCAAAATAAATGATTCTAGCGTAGTGATACTCCATAACAACATCACATAATCTACACTGCCAAGTCTGCGGTACTGCTCATTTTCAAACTGCATGTATCTCTGCCAGTGAATCTCGGAGGTGGATATTGGTGCAGCTTCAGCATATGGAGAAGTAAATATCTAAAAAGTCCCTGGCCCATAGAGATATGAGGGCTTAGAAGGCTCGAGGAAGTTTGACTGGATAAGCACATGAAGGGAGCTCTCTACTAACATGATTTATTCTGTTTTGCGCGTGAGTGGCCAGTGGTAGGTAATGAATAACATTTAAAGTAGAAGGCTTGGCTTTTCTACATTTAACTGTAATTTTCACTTATAGCCTCCTTCACTCATCTGAGGCTTTTCATATCCTCCTATCTTTAAATGTTTATATTTATCTTATATGCTTTTATTACTTGTTTTAAAGGTGGTTTTGATGTGATAGAGTTGAAATTGTGATCTCAGCTTGGTGAATACTGTGATATGATTTTTTTAGCAAACCTGTCCTTATGTTTGCTGAATGTGTGAATTATGACCTGCAGTACTTTAAACTCAAGATAAATGTTTCTCTGCATGGGAAAATAAAGTTACACCTTGATTTAGAATAATTCATCTCTTTTTTGAATACGTTGCAGGATTGTGTCTTCGGCTTGCACACAGCCTACATCCACTGACAAATCTGCCTTCCTTGTCAGCATGTGCATGTTACGGGTAAAAGATGAGTCTGTTTATCAGATAAGAAAGCTTTGGAAAACTGTTTGTTAGCTTTCTGCTTTTCAGAATAGCATGCTATAATTTCACTCAAGCCACTCATAAAGACACATTTGGACAGAGAGTGAGCAGAACAGTACAGGAGGTAGACACTGTTTAGTTTTCCACCTTGTGATATCATGTAGTTTTCAAGTGAATAGATACCTTTTTTACATTTAGTGTAGTAGAGATATGCAATTCCAAGACTGAAATTATCCTAATGATTCTCGTGAAGGTGCACAGAGTTTAAAGAAAACTGTGGATCACTTCCTGTATTACCACATGATATCAACATAGGAACAGAATGTTTTTCCAGGAAGAACTCTAAAAAGTCTAAAAATGTAGAGTGAACATTATAACATCAGAACATCAGATAAGAAAATAGTATAATATGGGCACGTTAAAAGACTTGGGTGTAATAATGACACAAACATGCTTAAAACAGACAATAACATGAACTGCTTTACAAGATATTTTCTAACCATTGTTTTTCCTGTTTGCCCTGTTTATACCGTACATGTATCAGAACAAAATGTACCTAACCTCTTATTTATTCATCCATACAGGTATCAAACCAACTTGGTGAAGTACAAGTATGCAATATATTTCTAAAGTATTGTTTTTATATGCATATATTTGTGAAGTATCTACAAGCATATACTTTCAGCGGTAAAGGTAAAAGAAATATGACATAACTATTGATCTACATGGGATTTTAATCATTGTAATTACAACGCTTTAATACAGTCACAAACATGCCTTTTATTGAGGCCCCAACTTCACGTACCATTATGTGGTTTATTGGTGTAATAAATAATTTACAGGATTAAAGATTCAACCCAACTGTAACTAACTATAATGTATTCATATGAAATAATTACAACGCACATATTATGAAAACAAATACATATTTATGAAACCAAATAGATATTTATCACAAGCAAGTCTCAAAAGCACCTACACCTGACAGTCAAACACTCAGCTATTACCATTATGGCCATTACAATGAGGAAATCTCAGAGGACTGTGTTGAACATTGACTCAATAAATGGAAGTCTTTATGGTAGGTTATTATAGGGCGCCTGATACCACTTTGAAGAAGGTCAATGGCTGAGTTTAAAGCCAAGTGTGCAGTGCTGGCTGTAATGACACTGCTCTCAATACGGGGTAGTAATTGCGGAGTGAGAACTCTATCTTCATGAACAAACAGTTAGCCCTCAGGGGTTACATGGACTTTGGGATCCAGTGACCATTGTTGCTCAAAGAGAGGGCAAAGTTTCGTCTATTACATCAACAAGTGGGTTCATCATTTCACGGCTGCACTGGTCACACCCTGTAATTAGGCATAATTACTGAAATTACACATGAATATATATACATAATATCTCAGCACTATACAAAGACAGCAGTAGCCCCAACATCAGAATATATTTTGATAAAATTAATTCTGTATTTTTTTTTCAAGTCCATTTTATGACGATTAGTGAAATATTATAATGTAATATATCATAAATATCTAAAACAATTATGCAAATACATCATAGACCTAAGTTCATCACACACATAATCACAGCTGCTCATTAAATCATAAAATTACATATTACTATCCAAATGCATTGAATTTTGTTACCACTGATATATAATTATAACATGAAGAAAGTGTCTTTTTGTCCATCTTTTCTAATGCATGTATTAATATCTGCTATTATCAAAAAAAGTATATTTTGGAGCACTTTAGTGGGATATTTTGGGCCTCAAAGCAAAAACAATGAAAAAACACCATCACCAAATACTTCACGCAACACGGACCACACAATAACCCTAGCCCTTCAGCACACACATGACCCAGATAACAATCAAAGAGGTGAAGACAACCATTTCACACACTGAAAATACACGGACCAGGACAGGTAATGTTTAACAGTAGTAGTACAAAGGAAACCTACAGTACTGCCATAGGACAAGAACGAATGTGCTATGAGGTTCTTTAAGTCATGTTTAGATGGCTCAATTTATTTACTGAACCACTGATTAGAATGTATTAAACCCCAGCTAGTGTAACACCGAATATTACATCAGGACTAACTAGGAGACTAATTGGGACAACCAAAATTGGCAAATGACAGACAAGCCACAACAGTCCACAAACCACAGACTGAGAAACACATAGCCTGTCTGACTTATCGTAGACAGACTCACTGTAACCTATACAAAAATGAAGTTATATCACGAAAAGTTTTTCATACTCACTTGTGTCTGTGCAGCTGATGTCAGAGTCGCCTTTTGTGTTTTTCTGAATTTTCCTCCATGACAGTACGGCGCGGTTCAGTACAACTTCTACCTCAGCTTGTTTGACGAAAAGACGCGTTGAAAGTAACCTGTGCTGCTTGTCCATACTGTCTGTTGCTCCAAGGGGTCACTTTAAGGGCATCACAGTGCTTGTCAGCCTCTCGATCGTCCTCATTTCAACTTTGTAATGGGCCGCGTGTAGGAGCGCGTTTTGCCCCGCGCAGTGACAAACGCACGGGCACAAGCGCAAGCAAAGATATTTTATGCAAACAGATGGCTCACTCACTGCGCACAAACACACTATTTTTTATAACGTGTACGCCTACCAAAGTAGATTCTGACGAAACCCCCAGAATGTACAAACATGACTCAGGGGACACATAAAAGTGAATCCTATTTTTTCCCCCGACTCCCTTCAATAAACAACATTTTTAAATGAATTTGGAGCCACGTCGAGTTTGCGTCTTGTTCCCAAACAATCGCTATAGATCCATGGGTTATATGCATTCATAAATGACTGCCTATGACAGCTTGTATATCTTACCTGTAGACTAGGGTGACCAGATCAAAATCAAAGCAATCAAATTTAAAACTGCGGCACCTCAGGTTTAAGATAGTTGGTAATAATAAAAATGATGAAACCAATGCGTAATTAAGGAAAAATAATGATGCACTCGGCCTATTCATGTCTAACATGTGAGTCAGTACGGTCACATTTTCTTTATGCTTCGGTCATTTTAAGCAGGTTTTATGTATTTTACCAAAAGAAATGACTTATCAGAGTGGTCAAAAATAGGGACACCTGGGACATTTATATAAAACTGGGACAAATCAATGGTTTCTGATCACCCTACTGTAAACACCGTTTTTGGCTATCCAAAAGACAGCTTCAGATTTTCGTCAGAGTGAGACATCTGTCAAGATTTTTGCTGGTTCTTTCTTGGCCAACAAACGCACGAGCTGTTGCGTAAAATCTTTTTATTTATGTCATTGTCTTCTAGGTGTACTGCAGCGTACTGTCTACGTATACACATCGGCCCATGGGTAAATCCCCACACACATGCATGGCAGATTAAAAAGGTTTGTATTAGTTAAAGGTTTGTGTTTAGAAATGAACAATCCCGATGATAAAATGACTATTTAAACACACTCGTGGCAAGGACCCTATGAAATGTTTTAAGGTGACTATTCCCCGGTAGAATGGTGCTGATGCTGCTGGTGGTCTCTTGTTTGATTGACACTTTTCTGTCAACACAGCAGCAGACACCGCAGGCAACGACGTCAGCCTCCCCCCTATGGACACCTCACTTCAAATCTCACTTCTGATTGGTGCACACGGAGGAACTCTCATTGTAGCCAATCACAGCCACGTTTGCTCACCGATCTGGCAGCACCAACATGGCAGCTTTCTGAGTTTTGGAGGAGGGAATCTGTGCAAATAAACTCAAAATCGGGCTGTATTGAAAACGACAGCGCTCCGGTGCTTCATTTTATGACGTGTGGAATAGCAGAGGAAAAATGTCGAATGACGGGAATAAGTTTTGGAAGCGAAACACGGCGAAGGTTCCTGGCAGGTGAGTGACGTGTTCTCTGATCAGGGCTAACTTAGCACGGCTAGCTGTACTGAAAACGCCTTGTAGTTTATGCATAAAAGCAAAAATAACAAAATCCGTTCCACCGTAACTACTGTACCGGTTTTGCACTTTATTTCAACCCGCTAATCAGTTCAATACCTCTCGTTTATCCCTTGCTGCACATAGGTGGTTCTGGGCTAATTTGCTAACAGCGGCTAATTGTTGATAGTATTTCCCCCTGCCGACTGTCGTAATCAGAAATTAGAGAAGAAAGTATGTACATGATCAAAACAGCAATGCGCTGGCTGTGCAATCACTCGTAGTCCCCATTATAAACTATTCCTATAATCGAATTGGAGTTTGAGGAAATCAGGAAGCTGTTTGAGCTAGCTTGACAGGACTCATTCATTAACGTTTTCTGATTTTGTTTTCTCAGCATCCAGCATGTGTACGGCGCACAGCATCCACCTTTCGACCCCCTACTTCACGCAAAGTAAGTACCATCCTCTGTCAGAGCAAGCAGTTATACTACATTGTAAATCTTAGTTGTAGTAGTATTCCTCAGAAATCTGGATTCTTGAGTGATTCTTGAGCAATGTGTTTTCTGATTTTAGGATAACACCATATTTAAACCAGGCTTAAACTAGATCGAAACCATAGCTTAAGTGTTCCTGTTGAGCCTATAGATGTTTTAAATCAAAGGCGGATTTGATTTTCTATTACCTCAACCTGTCAGTCAAGGTTCCTTTCTGAGTCTCAAGAGTAATAAGTCTGTTTTATTTTTGTAGGCAGTTACATTGGAGGGTTATAGATAAATAGATAGATATGTATACATACCAATGCTGCCACTAACGCGCTACTTAGTAACGTGTTACTGTAGTCAGACTACTTTTTTCAGTAATGAGTAGTCTAATGCAGTGCTATTTCCAAACCAGTAGTCAGATTTAAGTTACTTATCTAATACACTGTGTGTTACTATTTTTGCATTTCAGGGCGAAGTAGGTTATTTATTTATTTATTTTTTTTGGCAACATGGGTTATGTGACCCCAAAGATCATATAAATCGTCTCTGGTGACACGTTTCCTATGATGTTACGTCATCTCCGCTCCGTCATGAGTCAGATGTAAACAATGGAGGGAGAGAGGTATGACTTTTGCAGCTGGAAATACAAACATTATTTTGATTTTATTTCAGCTAAGGATGGCAGCATAAAGGTTCATTGTACACTCTGTGCTGGTGACAAAGTGTTGTCTGCGTTCAAGAAGGGGGTGGGGGATCAGCCGCTGCTGAAAGTAACTGATAAAGTAACTTGTAAACTAACTTAGTTACTTTTAAAAGCAAATAGTCAGTAACTTAACTAAGTTACTTTTTAAAGAAGTAATCAGTAGTCAGATTACTATTTCAAAGTAACTATGGCAACACTGATAGATACATGATACAAAATAGATGTTTTTTTTTTTTTAATATCACCAGACCTAATGAATGGTAACATTCAGTTTATTTAAAGCAGAGGTAAGGTTGTTGCACACCTATCATTTATCATTTATTCTTTTCCTTGAGGTCAAAGTGGTAATTAAACCAATTCTAACTCTGAATAGTTGTTGAGTAGCAATAGCATTTCTGTTCTTTGTTCTCCACTCCCTACAGTGGACTTTCCAGAAAATCTAGTCATCCACCTTAAGTTGTAGAAGTTTCTATAAGACTCTTCACTTACTGTACATTTTACTTCAGTCTTTTCCCTAGGGACTTTGCATCTTTTTTTTTTGTTTTTGTTTTGTTTGTTTTGATTATTCTTGAGTTGCAGTTTAAAAGGGAGCACTTTCTCCTTTTAACTTGTTCTGAATGTTAATTGAGATTCACTTTTAATTTGTATTTTTGTCGAGACTCAATTTGGACTCTCTTTGTCTAGTTTACACCTGGTTTATGACAAAAATCTTTTTAATTATTTTTATGATAATGCTTGTCTTTGTGGAAAATGGCTTCACCTTTCGCCCCTTTTGTCCCTGTTGCTTCAGTCTACTTCTTTTCTCTGCATTGCATAAAGCAGGACTTGAGTTTAATTGAATCCCCTTTCTTCTTTGTTTCTCATTTTGCCTGAATAAAGTGGTGTCCTTGTAACAGAATGAAAGCGGCAGTGATACTACTTTCATTTAATTTGGTCACATTCATTTGTAATAAAATACCCATTCGGGATGAAGAAGTTTTATATAATCTTTAGCATGGCAGCTATCAAACTCTCATTGACAGTGCATTTACTTCTCCATGATTGTAATCTGGAAAAAAAAAAAAAAAACACTAATTTTTTTGTTTTTGTTTCTTTACAGAATCAGCTTGATTCAAGGGTCAAAATAAACACATAGTTAGTTTAGTTTATGTTATTTAGTCCACATATGCCAGTTGTTTTTATTGCTCAAAAACCCCTCGATCTATCCTGTGATATGGAATGAGGGCATCACTTTCCTGTTTCCATGAAGATGGACATAAGATTAATGCCATACTGCAAAACAATCCATTCAAGATGGTAACACCTCAATAGAGAGATGACAAAGGTAGCAGACCCTCAGTCAGAAAAGTTACATAGTGTACCTTCAATTTTATTTTATTTATCTGAAACTGTAGATATGGTAGTCTTTTAAAATGGACCTGAATTGCTCATTTCTTCCCACTTACCGTCATTTACTTTATCGAGGTTTGCTTTTTTCTGTGGCCCTTATCCCAAATTGTTTTCCTATTTGATCCCTTTCTCTTATTTATCCAAAACTGAATGTCTTTCCCTTAACTTCTCAATGGTCGTGATGTGCTCTGTGTGTTACAGCCTAATTAAAGCTGGTAACAAGCCTCCTCCTGCGACGCCTGGCAAACCTAAAAAAGCAACCACTTTCCAGGAGTTTGAGAGCACTACGAGTGATGCCTGGGATGTGGAGGATGACGAACTGTTGGCGATGGGCGCCCAAAATCTCAACATTGAGGTTGTCATGGAAACAGCCAATAAGGTAAACAGTATCCACCGTATTTTAACCTCTCGCATCACCTACGATCTGTGATAATACATTGCTATAGCCTGTATGAATATCATACTAAATGTCCCCATATCACATTATGATGCTGAAATGACTTAAACATGTTTTAATGCTGGAGTCATGCTTCACTGCTTCACTGGACTAATTTCAGCGTTTATATTCTCTTGACTACAGTGGACATGCCTTTATTTAAAACAGGGGTGTCCAAACTAAAAAAAAAAAAAAAAAAGTAAACACACAAAGCACAGGGCCATATATTGGTGTTTGATACAGTGGGATGGGTGCATTTAACAGAGGCTAGACCAGGCCACCACATTTTTATTCTTGCTTGGAACCTTTATATCAGGCCTGTCTCACACCTAAATGTTACTTATTCAGGTTCAGATTATCACAGTAGAGGAAAAAAGGACTGCAACTGGCCTCTGGGTGTGCCTGATTTAAAAGGCTTTGCTCTCTTTAATGACAAAGCTGTGCTTTTGTACATGCAATATTTTGACTGAATTTACTTTGGCAACTGACTGAGTGTAATTGAATCATAATTGTCTGCTCCATTGGTCACTTTTTGCCTTTTTTAACCAATTAAAACACCATCATCACTTCCACACAGCTTCTCTTCTTGCCATTTAATCTTAATGATATAGAACTAATCATACTTTTATTATTGCTAAAATTCTATGCACTTATGAAAGGTCTTATGAAACCCAAATGCCAAGAGGTGCTCTTTTCAAGAAGGAGAGAAAAAATGTTGAGTCCAAGATATTGCAGTATATTCAAAAGAAAACCTGTCTATTTGATTATATTAGCTTCAGGCTCAATATTTATACAGTCACACTATTGCATACAGACATTGTTCAAATGGCTGTAAGATTTTTTATTATGTGAAAGCACAAGCAACCATATGGAAGAAAGTGGAGATTGCATTTGAAAATTATTCTGAAGCAGTGCAAGATTGAACTACTTTGTGGATTTTTAGTCTAGCAATAAGTTTGGGTTTGTTTTGTGTGTATAAAATTTTAAGTAAACAAAGTATGCTTTTTGTGAAAAGGGGCAGAAATCATGTATAATTTTTATTTTACTTATTTCTATTACACCTCAGTTACATGCAACACAATAATGCTAATGTATTTTCACAAGTTTTCTTTTGAGTAAGCACTAATATAATAGTCTTTGCACAATCATAATTTAGTTGTGCATGTTAAGTTTTGATTTCATTAGACTTCTCTGCAGTTGTTGTCCTGGATGAAAAGGAAATGTAGCAGCTATTTTGCGCTAAGGCATTCCTGTCCACCACCAACCACAGACTTGCATTCATGTAAGAAAGTAGGCCTAAGACTTTATGTGGCACAAACAGAGATTGCACCTCCAGTAACTATCTTGAATTTAATGTTCTTACTAAGTTAACGTGTACCGTGCTGACTTATGCTTTATTATTTCTTTGTTGCCCTGTACCCAGGTGATTGAGAACCACAGCAGGCAGCAGGAGAGGCAGAGGCAGGATGACTCTTTGGAAGTGGAGCAGAGGGAGGAGGAGCCCACAGAGGAGGACCCTGAGGACCAGGACCTGGATGTGGAGGAGGAGGTGGAGCGACCCCATGAGGGAGAGCTGCCCAGCCCAGAGGTGTCGTTTACCTCCAGCCCCTACAGTGATGTGCGCCTGGTCAAGTCCCACAGCGAGGCTCCAATTGGGTCACCGAAAGGTTAGTGGACTTGAGACTCCAAAGTTTTCAGCTCAGCTGCTGAGCTGAATCCTAAAACTTTTGGTGGTCTGACTTGTTTAGTTAGTAATGTAGTTGAGTAACTGATGCTGGATTAATCCTGGGACAAACTGTCAATCCAGACACCTGTATAAGTGACTTTTATATCCTGTCCAATTTAGATCAATTCTCTGCTCAAAAACAGATTTGTGGGTATACATTCTCACAGCCCTCCTCATTGGTCAGTGCCTATTATGAGATACAGACAGGAAGACTTGAGCAATCTCAGTAAAGGGGGGCTGATTGGGTAATGTTTCTGTTTGTTCAAATGGCATGAAAAGCAACTGGTAATATTAACTTCTGTTAATCTGAATAGAAAACTGCAGCAACCTAAAGATTACATAGAAATTGACTGGAAGGATCTCTGTTTTGGAAGGCTGCATATTGCTTGTATTTTGCTTGGGGATGTATTGGTTTTTATGCAAACAACCAAACCATTCCCTGGGCACTAGTAGCTGTCCTTGGCTGCCTCTACTTTTATCAAGTTGGGCACAGATGTGCTGTGACAGACAGAAAGTGCTCCCTTCTCCTCAGCCTGTGCTTGTGTTGTTTTCCTGAAGCACAAGTCTACCACTGCTTATCACAATGTCATGGTCCTGCATTTACATCTCTCACTACTCAAGACTGGCCTCAGATATCACAGTAATATTTTAAACAGGCAAACAGCACAGGTGACATACAGTCTGATCATTTAACATTTAACAGATGACAACCTGCCTTATACTAAGCTCCTGTTGTAATACTGTAAATTCACATATGTACATGAAGAGTTTAGATTTTTCCTCACCAACCACCCTTCCTTACTTCCATTACATGATGCACACTGGAACATAATTTCCTTCAGTTCTTCAAATTTTGTCTTTTGTAGAACTCAGTTATTTTATTATCCAGTGATGTCCCAATTTGGATGAAAAAAAAAAAGTTCACAGTGTGTCTACTATAAACAACCCTCACCTGGTCCTATGCTATCAACATCATCGTAATGTCATTCTGGATCAGTAAATTTGCCATTTTAAACCTTGAGTTCTTGTCTGGATAACAGGTCACATGTCTGTCTGCTGTGTAGGCTGGTGCTGCATGTTGTAGATAGCGTAAGCAGCAGTACTTTAGCTCCGGGCACCACCTCCTATCTCTGGAGACGCCTGGCTGCTTCACTGTGTCACGCATGGATACAGGGATACACAGGTGATGCGGCATGCATCCTTAGTGAGTGTTTTGCAAATGCACAAAAGCATGAAGATAAAAAAGTACACCATACACTCAGCGCACGCAGAAGACATAATATATAGTGTGTAGAGGCTTGCTGTGTTAAAGTTTGTCACCACCCACTCTTCTGTTCATTTCAGATTTTGCAAAAGTTTATTAGTTTATTTATCAAATACATATACAATGAGAAAATATAATATAAAAAGTCTGTGTCAGGTTATAGCAAGATTGACAATTTCCACGGGTGTCCTTGGGCAGGTTAAGAAATGGCGTACATGCCAATAAAATCCAATGTATGTACAATATAATCCAGTGTATGTACAGTATATTATCCAAGTATTGTATTTTAGATTATTATTATGATTTCCAAGTAACTAATGTGCTGAAAAGGGAAATTACAACAGTCTAAAACCGGTCAAATCAACCATCTAACATCTAAAATTACAATGACCTGTTTCATGTATGAAAGCGTATTAGTCTAGTAATTAATCAATGCTGTTTTTTATTGCCTCTGACATCAACACAAACACAGCCATGCTGAGCAAAATAACCCAATTGAAAGCACATATTAGTTTTTTTTTTTTTTTTGAGACACTGCTGTTGACTCTTGTAATATTTGTAAGTTCAATTGAAACAGTGTTGGATTGTTTTTCGTGGTTGTTAGAAGCTGAAAAGGGATATTACAGTCCCTGGCCCCATTTTTCTGTAATTGTTATGGAGTTTTAAATGTGTCATATTTAGCTCCAGCCCTGGGAATTGTTGTCAATTTGATTCAACAAGACTTGTCTTTATAACACTTTTCTCAGTGGTAGAAGGAGCATTCCTCATCACATACAAGTCTCGACCTCTGCAGCTTTTCTGTGCTCTGGTTTTGTGTTTGATTCTTCTTGAGCCTTTTTAATGCATCTGGGAAACATGTGGCCCTGAGCGAAGTCATTCTGATACAAAGGCTGCAAAGACATGCCTTGAAGTTCACAACCTCTGCAAGTGCCTTCCGCTTCAAGTCCTACTTGTATAACTTCTGATGAGAACTGTACATTTATTATACCATCTCAATAGGAGAACATGGCACAAGGCTACAAGTACATAAGGAGCATAAGGTTGTTCTGAAAATGTTTTTTGGTCATTTCGGGCACCTTTACTGTAGAAAATATACTGCAAGTTGGTAAGTGTTCAAGTAATTGGTGTTTTAATAATTTCATAATGTGTGTTTATGTAGGATAAATAATATTAATATGATCCATCAAGTTGCCATGTAGATGTGATGTACTTTTTTTTTTTTTGTCTGTAATAGTGTATTGTAAACCATATATTTCACCTATTATGTGTCTCCACAGATGCCGAGAGTGAACGAGCCGCCCTCCACAGACAGAGGTCCCTGCCCCACCGACCCCCTGTCATCCCGTTAGTGGCACGGATGGCCGACCAGAACACATCTGGGACCCCCGCCATGACCGAGAGAGAGGCCTCCAGGCTCGACAAGTTCCGACAGATACTGGCTGGACCCAACACAGATCTGGGTATGTCAACTGCTTCTCCTTTTCACATTAAAGGTGCACTATCATTAGGGTTGTGCAAAACTATCAAAATATTGATATATTGTATTGTTTAATGTGATGATGACAGTATTGATATCGTGGGCTGCTGTATCGATATATTGCCAAGAGTATTTCTTGGTATATTTTACTAAATTATTTTACAGTTTTGTTGCTTGTTTAGGGGAAGGAAGGAAACTCGTTTATGCTGCATATTTGACATTTTCATTGTTTTGACGAGTAAAATTGAAGCTTGAAAAAGCTCGGGAGGTTCCTTATTTTAACAGATTCATGTTCCTATCCAGCAGTAAGGAGCTATGAGGTATCTCACAAGCCACTGCACAGATCAAACCCAACGTTTCCAAACACTATTGTACAAGTTACACTGCAGCAGATTATTACTAAACTTTACAACATAAAGCATAACGACTATATGACTAAAGGACACAACTCGGTGGAATATGAGTGTTCTCTCTGTGACAGAGGATGTCCTGCTGATGGCCTTGTCTGTAAATGGTGGAAAAGTTTTGTGGTGCTAGAAGCTTTTCACTGGTACCAACTTTTGGCATTCACGGCAGTAGTGAGGAGAGAATGAGACACAAGCGAGCAAAATCAGGGAGGCGGGGGCTCGCGGGGTCGACCACAGAGAAGGCAAACAAGCGAAGCAGCAAAATCAGAATTGGATATAAGCATTATATCAATATATAAAATATGTCAGAATCCATATCGAGTTTAAAAAATATCTCAATATATTTAAAATATCGAGATATCGCCCACCCCTATGTTATAGCAATTACAATTTAATTATGTCAGTGTCATCCTCATGAACTTATAGAGTCTCCAGAGTTATGAAATGTATTAAATGTTGTAGAAGTGGTGGAGGTGCATGATGGATAGATTTTTTTTTTTAATGCTTTAAAGTAAAACGAAAAAAAAAAAAAAAAAAAAGTGGAGACTTTTCTTTCTCCATTGTGGTCAAAACATCACTTGCATTCTTTACATATAGTTTTTGTTTCTCCAGATTTGTCTTATATGGCCAGACTTTTTCGTAGTATACTCTTTTGTTTTACTCACTGTGGAGTTTGCCAGCTGTGCTAGCTTTAATGGAGCAGTGAGGGGGAAATTTGTGCAGCCATCTGGGCATGTGCGCATATTACAAGAGAAAAATACAACTAACATCAGAAGCAAATGACGAGTCTTTGTTGTGCAAATGAGAATAATGTATTGTTTATCCAACCCCAGAGAGGGGCGTCTGGTGCTGTGGTTTTATCAGTGGCTCTAAAAAGTCCTTACTGTCCACACTGACTAACACTGTGCCAACATGTTGCTTTTGTTCTTCTGCCTTCCAACAGTGGCCCCAATCAATCGAGGATGTTTCATTTTGAATGTAGCATTAAAGACAACAATACATCAGCAGGTGCATGTTCATCATTACTAAAATTACATTCATATCTTCTTGACCACTACGAATTTTTGTAGCCTTAGAACATGTCTAAACAAGTTCTACAGAGACATTAAGATCATTAAAACAGAGATTGTCCGCACCAGATTATAGCTAAATGGCTAGTTTGCATCTGCAGTCCCTGTTTTACAGAAATAAATTATACAATGCAATTTAAAAAATAATAATAATATTATCATTTTGTCTCTTGTTATTGAGTTTTCATGGGTTCTTTACTTTCTCATGTCAAACTGTGCACTTACCAAATAGCGATGGACAATATTACACCAGTGGCTTACAACCTGGGGGCAGGACCCCAGAGCTTTGTCTGGTCAGACATCATGTCATCAAAGCCATTGACTGAAAAAAGGGCATGGGTATGAACACTAGAGCCCGACCGATATGGATTTTGTTGTGGCCTATATGAAACCGATATAATGGGAGTTGGAGCTGCCCATAGCCGATATAATCGCCGATATATTTAGTGATGTAAAAATTCACAGTAAACCTTGAATTGTTTAAAAAACTTAGGTTTGGCTCTAGTGGATTCTAAATTGGGTTTATTTAGGCAACATTTATTGTTATTCTGACTCTTTACATCATATTTACATACAGTAGATTGGCCTAATGGCATTTTTGCATCACATTCTAGCTACTAGTGATGGGTATTCCAGTTTTTTTTTTTTGGAGAACCGGCTCTTTTGGCTCAGCTCACTAAAGCAGCTGGCTCTTTCGGCTCCCAAGCGACTCTTGAGATTGTTTTGTTGCAAGCAGGACTGAACCAAAACTGAACCAGGACTGAAAAGGGACTAAACCAGGACTAAAACAGATTTAAACCAGAACTGAACCAGGACTGAGTGTCGGGACTCGGTCTCTCCCTCACTCAAGCCCAAGATTAGTCCTGGTTTATTCATTTTATGCTGAACTGCAGCCAAATACGCACTTTTTTTTTTTTTTTTTATCCTATGCATACGCAGATTTCTGAAAGTTTCGTTTTCAGCCGCTGCTGCTGTCAAACTACGGGTCTACAAGCGGCTTGAAGAGAAAAAGTGAGAAAAAGAGAAAACACGGCTCCCAATAAGAAACATGCTCCAGTTGTTCGCTTCAAAAGAGGCGTTCAGACTGCAGCCTGAAGTGACCCAAATCCGATTTTTTGGCTTCTATGTGACCTGTATCCGATCTTTTAATGACAGTCTGAATGGCACAGATCCGATTTTTTCAAATGCGACCCAGGCCAATTGGATATGTGGTCCTGAAACCGATACATATTCGATCTTTTGACATGCGACTTCAGTGTGAACGGCCAAAGCGCATTCATTCGACCTACGCGTTATCAACAAGCCACAAACGTCACTATTCTGCACTGAAGTAGGCGAAAATTGTTAATGAACTCCGTGTCACTGAAGCGAAGCACATCGCCACTCACCACTCTTGGCTACGTCTCCACATCCACACGTTCCTTTCAACGGACGTCGCTGCCGCTGTCCCCCAAAACACCACGGCCAAAAACCTCGTCCTTCTCCTTCTCAATCTCGTCCTTAAAACAAGTAAGTTGTTCATGTTCTGGCTCCGGTACGAGAGAAGCTTTAAAATCTCCAGGTGCTCAATGCTCGCATCCATGTTTGGACAACTTTCGTAAACACAGAGCACGCTCGCTGCGGTTGACGTCATCGTGTCCTCCATTGCGCATGCGGGACACTTTCGGGCCGTTTTACGTTCACACAGCTGATTACATACAAGTCGCATTTAATTCGAAATGTGAACGACCTCGCAAAAACATCGGATTTCACAAAAAAATAGGAATTGAGCGTTAAGCCCTGCAGTCTGAACGTAGCCTAAGAGCCGCTTCGATCGTGACCGACCCATAACTCCTAGCTAGTAAATAAACTACCGCTATTAGCCTTTAGCCGTAAAAACGTGCGCGCCGCGGTTTTTAATTATATGCATAAATGTTGATCATTCACATGTCTATTCACAGCTCATTTACATATCAATGCTGGTCCAGTAGCAAATATACGGCCAATATAGTCACTTTACAATAGGCCAATAGAAAACAGCCTGTTTATGTGCGGGAGCTACAACAGCTAATCGCTAATAACAAATGGCCAAAACTAGCTTCAAAGTCGATGTATTTCCAACACTCACCGCTCACACAGGCTCCTCCTCACATCACAAGTCTGAACTAATAAAAGTCCTTTTAATCCAGACTCAAACCGATTGTCCGTAAAAAGAATATAATCTCAGTGTTGCGCACCGCTGCGGGTGTAAACAATAGCACGTGAGTGAAGTGACGTGACTCTGGGGGGGTGTTCAGGGACAATACAGACACAGACACAGACAAATTACACCGCAGATAAATACTGATGCGGAGCCACATATTAGGACATTTATCTGTCTGTAAATTGGATTAAATGAACATAATGTAGAGTCTAAGCTTTATAACTAGGTATAACATGCCCACGTGAAATATCGGCCCATATCAACAAGCATATCGGCCGATAGCCGATATGTCTCCAGGTGATCATATCGGCCAATAATAGCGGCCAGCCGATATATCGGTTGGGCTCTAATGAACACCACGAAGTTGCTTATTTGTATTGAATAAATAACAGTGAACTGAACCAGAAATATTATTCTCAAGCAAATCTCTTAAAGCTGTTCTATATTTCACATTAAATCTTAGAGCATAAGTGATACTTGATCTCTAACACTGTTGAAGTGTTTAGAAATACATTTGCTGACTGCAGAGTTCAGACAAGGATTTGAGATGAAATACAGTGGCTTGTGTAGCAGTTAGAGGCTCTGAGAGTCTGACATCACATCAGAGTTATTGACATTATGACTATTAATGTCTAAAGTGGACAACATTGGCCGGGATGTGCTTCACCTTTTGCCAGTTTACCCCTGTTACTTAAAATTCATTCAGACCACTACAACCAAATTACACACTGAAATACAGATGCACTCTCCATAATTTGGCTCTTGTAAGTCTCAAATTTGGCTCCCAGTTACATATTTAGATAAAATGATGTTGTTATTCACTTAAACTGTCAAGGGTTATAGTAATGTCCCTGATCTATTCACTTTGAAACATTTTATTGGTGAAATTAGTGAGTTTTAACCATGACACACATTCTAATTACTCGCACCGGTCTTAATTGACCTCAAATAACCAGCTAGGTGTTTTGCTAAAAAACTATTATTAGACATGCTTTATTGGCAGTTTCCCCTTTTATCATTTCTTTTTCACTTTATTACTTGCTTTTCAGAGTTGTGTTTACTTGCTCTTACTTTGTCATCTTTTTGGGTTATTAATAAATAGAGAAGAAAATCATCCAATAGGTATATTTCTAGGTATATATCTAGTATATTTTTTTATGTGCAGACTAAAAAAAAAACATGCTGTATTTTATGAGTCAAGACAGAGTCGTAATTACATCTAAATGACACATGAAATTAAGGATGTTTTGATTAGAACCCAAAAAATCGACTCACAACTTTAATAATATCTAATAATTATTGCCAAATTGATTTATTCTATTGC